GAGAAAATAACACAGAACAAAACAGGTTTATGACATTCCTTTTAGAGTTTTCACTTGATAGACCTATGAATGGAAAAGTGATTAGACTTTGAAGCAAGAGTTGGCAGGCTTTAAAAAAGTCATATTTAAGTGAAAAACTGCTACTGAAAATAAGACCAGAAATGACTGTTAGTAGGAAGTGTCACCGGGCAAGTTTGATTTTCCCTCCTTATCCCAACCTGTCGCATTGGAGAAAATCTCCCAGAACATTTTCACTAAAACCGCAACACAAAAACAAAACAAATTATTTCACCAGTTTAAAGAAAACTGAAAAATTCCCGTCTCAATAAATACCAGCTCTAGTTATTCCCTTGTTCATCCTGACATCTGCCTGTCTCATTTTAACAGGCATTTGAAATTTAAATTTTCTTAGGGTTCTTATATTTTTTGGAAATGTGGTATTTTAAATTTTCTCTTTTCAGTAAAAACTATGTTGAAATGCCTTCTGAACATATGCTGGTCTACCCATAGCTTTCTTGACAATGATAATCACTGCTTTTTTTTTTTTTTGCTTTTTCTTTTTACCCCTATAATGAGGCAAGGTATTTAACCTTTGCCCATAATCCAGAGATAAAGGAATAAATTGATAATAGCATTGTATCACTTCATGAGAAGAAATGTTTGGTATAGTATGTTAATTCAATGAATAAAAATTCTTAATGAGTTTTGTAATAGAATTATAAATGGAAAAATAATTAGCTAAGATTTAAGCAAGAGTTGGCAAGCTTTCTGGAATATTAATTAAAAGAAAAACAGTATTCCACGTAAGGCCAGAAATAACACTCAAATGGGACACCATCAGAGTATTAAGCCGTGATCAATCAGATGTCGCATCCTCACATAAGTAGTAGAAATACACTAAATAATCACTTTCTACCGAAACTTTAGCACTTGAAAAAAAGAAGCAAGCCCAGCGCAGCAGCACCCGTCGTCCCAGCAGTTTGGGAGGCTGAGGTGGGTGCACTGCTGGAGCCCGGGAGTTCGAGGCTGCAGTGAGCTGTGACGGAGCCACCGCACTCCAACCTGGGTGACAGAGAGAGACTCTGTCTAAAAAGAAAAAAAGAAGAAATAAAATATTCCAAGCAAACTCTGTCCAGTGTTTTTCCTTGTGGAGTTTTCTAGGTACACGTATTGTGTCACTAATGGTCATGAACATTTTGCGCTTGTTGGGGGCTGTCTCCTGTTCATTGAGGACTGGAGGCAACCCCAGCCGAGGAGAGAGCAGGTGTGTCTGGGGCTGGCCATGGTGGGGCCCTGGAAAACCGCTCGGTGCTGGGAGATGTCTGCTCGCCAGGGAGGGCTGGGCCAGCTCCGCTGGGATGCATCCAACAGCAATGCGGGGAGCTGCTTTATGAAAATCGGAAGGTGCAGGGAAACTTTAACTTTACTCTGGTACTTTCCAGTTCATTAACATTTGCTTTTTCATTAGATAGGTCTCGGATTGAACTCACAGAACTTCTGCCCCGCAGTGGCCTCCACAGACAGGACCCGCACCATCTGCTCGGGGAGGCTGTCAGGCTCAACGCAGACATCGCAGGAGACACAGGGACCTGTGCTCCCTCCTGGGCTGGCCCAGGTGGCACCTTATCCTTTTTGCCCTCAGACAGCCCCGTGTCTCCCCCGACGGGTGACACAGGCTCACCTGCTGCCCTGTGGCACCCCGGCTGCTCTGGTCTCACGGGCAGACGCCCCTGGGCCCCCAGGCTCCTCCTGCATGCAGGGGATGGGCCAGTGACAGTGGCCAGCTGGAGGCTCCTCCGGCCCCTCACGTGTGACTGAGCCCTGGCAGCACACGGCCACTATTGCCCCACTTCACAGACGGGGTGCTGGGGGTCGCAGGGCATGACCTTGGTGGCCATCTAGCACCGGAACAAGGCCTCCGCATGCTGGGCCACAGGCCACTGGGGACAGGGGACCCCCTTGGGATGATCACCTGCCTCTCCTGGGCTCTGTGCTTCTCCCCTCTCTGGCCACCACCAAGCCCACTCTGGCCACGTGTGGAGGAGCCATGTCCACAGCTGCCCCCAGCGTCTGCTCCTGGAAACCCCACCCCCCTCTCCACTCCCCTCGCTCTCCCCACACAGCACACACGGGCTGGCCTTCCTGCCACCATGTCCAGGTTTGTCTCCAGAGATGCAAACCCCTGCCCTGCCCAGGCCCTCATCCCGAAGCTCCTCCATGGCAGGACTGACGCCGCTGCTGTGTCTTTGCCAGCACTCAAGAGACCCTCTGTCCACACTGATTTCTTCACTCACTCATTCAGCAAACACTTCCTGAGCACACTTTCAGTCCTCAAAGACCTCTGCAAGGGAACGGACTACCCAACTCCTGCGCCAGAAGGAAGGGGCCTGTCGCACCTGAGTGCAGAAGACCCAGGCAACACGCATGTTGGTGAGCATGGCCAGCCCTTCCTGTCTGGCTGCACAGAACCCAGATGCGACCAGCTGGAAAGTTCTGCCCTGCGGAGGCACTGTGCACCCAGGAATGCCGCTCTGTGAGTAGGAAAAGCAGGTCTCTTCCCCTCTCCAAACACCACCTCCAGCCTGAGACTCCAACAGGGAGCACTGGACGATACATGCACACACGTGTATACGCACACCACACAGACACAGACACACTCGCTGGTCAGCACTGCATGGTCACTCCCAGAGGCTTGCAAAGCATGGCCCAAGAGATGCTAGTTCTGTCGTAAGTTTTTCCAGTATAAAATTGAGCGTATTTTTAAATTTTTTACTCAAGTAGTATTGCTTCAAAGCCAAAATATTGTTTCCATTGATCCTGAAGAGTTTTGCTACAAGGTGCCATAGGGGGAACCGTCGCATCAGCAGGCTGTCTTACCAGCAGAAACAATCGACTTTCAGGAAAAACCAACCAACCAACCTCAGAATCACGGCTTCAGACCAACAAGCAGCCCGTCCCTTGTGCCACCTGGTCTGTGCTTGACGCGTCCTCTATCGGCGACCACTGCCCCCGGCGCAGGGCCCACCCTCCAGCTACATCTGAACTTCCGAGCCAGCACGACACACACTCAGCAGACGACCCCCGAACGAACACCAGGACGTCCAGTCAGAGCCCAGCGTGAGGTCTGCTTGGGAAGGTACAGCTCGGCTGCCCCGCAGGCTGCCTCGTCTCCACCACAAACCGACAGCGCCCACGGCCTCTCGCCACCACTCTGGGACCTGACATCCTGGGCGTGGCCAGACTGTGACAAGAGCCGTCAGTGCAGACCCCCACCAGGCCTCACTCCTGCACCGACCACGCTCCCCTGAGTGCCACGCGTCACGAGCCACCGGCAGGAGACTCCTGCAGACAGACTCCAGTTTCAGGCTCCAACAGAGTGTAAGCGGCCGAGAATTTTTACTCCAGCTGACACCTCCCTAGACCTTCCTCAGGTGACCCTGAAGAAGACACACAGAAAACCGATGGGATTTCCCACTTACATTTGATACTTTCGGGGTCTATTAATCCATCCTTCCAAACGCAATGTCGAACAACCTTTACTTGACAATTGTCGCATACCCCATGGGAAAAGGAGGCAGGTTGAAGGGACAATGCCTAGTGACTGACTAAAACAATCAAAAGCTTGCACTCATTTTAATTTAGTGAGTTGAGAAAGGTATTTAAAGTTGACCAGGTACGTACACTACAGATGATGCGATAGTTTCTTGCATGCGAAAGAGGATTTGATTTCAGGCTCCGAAGAGTTATGAGCACTTGAAAGAATGTGAGAAGAGAGAGAGCAGGGTGGTGTCCCCAACCAGGATGGCAGGAGACAGCTCTCAGCCAGGGAGGAACACCACCGCCCCGGCTCACCGCA